GCGACGCGCCGCGACGCGCCGCTCCTCGGTGCGCATGCGCCCGCCGCCGGGGCCTGGCCTGGCCGCCGTGGGAATGCTCCCGCACCCTCCCAGATATGGGAGAGGCCAGAGGCGTCCACCGTCCACCCGGCCGGAGCACGGCGTCGTACCCGGGGGTACTCGCGCGGCCGGGCCGAGCAGGGCCGGAGGGTACCACCGCGGCGCGCCCAAGCGCGTCGGCGACGTCGCGGGCGGGGTCGGGTCGGCGCGGCCGGCAGTCAGTCGGCCGCGGACCGCTCGGAGCAGCGCACCGCGTCCTCGCCCTGCCGGTCCTGGTCCTGCTGTAGGTGGCCGGGGAGTGTGTTGTTGTGTTTGGGCGCCGATGAAGCTCACAGGTGTCTAACCGAATGCTTATGTTGCTGTTGCAGTTTGTCGCGAGTGGCTGGTGCACGAGGATGGCGCCCTGGCCTACAAGCTGCAGAAGGAGGAAGGTGCGTATTCGCGTGCGTCTCCCTGCGGGGGAGTCGGTGCCGGGAGGGGTGTTGTTGTGCACAAGTGAGTCGGTGCGGAGCGGACAGGACAGCGGACCGAGACCCGGCCGCTGCTAAGGTTACACTCATTGTGGAGACGCGGCTGACGCGGCGCCGTCGCTGTCCTGTTGTGTCGCCGTCCTCAGTCACCCAGCGGCCAGCGCCCGCCGAGGGCCGCGGGCCTCCAGCGTGCTGCCCGACGCCGCCGACTGGGCCCCGCCCCCGCCGCCATGGCGACATGAGGAGCTCGCCGCGCGGCGGGGCTGGCAGGGCTGGCAGGGCTGGCAGGGCCTTCCCCCGGGCCTGCCCCCCGGCCGCGCCCTCGCCGTACACGGCCCACGACCCCCTGCAGCGCAAGGTGCAGCGCATCCTCGCCGAGCTCCGCCGCCTGCACGTCGTCCTGCTCAACCAGACCCACGCGCTCAAGCAAGCCGTGGGGCCGAGCTCGGGGGCTGCTCCGGGGCTGGCCGCCGCCGCCGAGCAGCTCATGTGGAGCCTGGAGAGGTCGCTCTGCTGCGAGCTGCAGCGGCTTCGGCTCGCCGTCGATCAGCTCCAGGCGGAACTGCAAGGGCGGGGCAGACCTTCCAGGAGGGAGCGCGGCGCTGCGCGGATGGACTCTGTTCCAGCTACGCTAGGTGAAGCCCAGACGAGCTTTTGCTGCGCTGCGTGCTTCCAGTCATTTTTACACCCATATTTTGCAAAGAGAAAATTCCTGTCCTTGTTTCGCTTGATGTTTTTTGTTGTTTGCAGTACTCGCCTTGCTGTTGCTCTATTTGTGCCTGTCAGACCTGTAAAAAAAAATTACCTCAGTGTTTAATTTATACTGTCTTCTCTTTTGTTTTCAGTTGAGCAGCACTACACTGGAAACAAGTCTCGAAATGCTGTCGTTAGACAGGATGTTCCCCTTGCAAAGAGTGAGCAGCAGAGGGAAGAGGAGGAGGCATTGGCAAAATACCACCAAAGTGTCCTAGAACAGTAAGTTTTGTTTGACCAGATTGCAAGATTTTTTGTTGTTTTAAAATTTTGTGTGAAGCCATTTTTTTTCGTGTTTTTTTTGTTATGTTCTCCTTCAGAAATTCTCATGTATTAATGATGATAAGTATTGTTCTGTTCATGATCTCTTTTGTCCACTTGCAGGGAGCAATATGATGCACAGGTAGCCCGACAGTTAGCTGCTCGCCTGGAAAGAGAAGAACAACTGCGTAAAATGCAACGCGAACAGCAAGATGGAGAGATAGCCAGGCAGATTCAGGTTCGCCCAGGACAAGTGGCTGTGGCTGTGTCTAACACGCGTGTGGTATATGCTTTTTGCTTTCTTTGTAGTTAATTCTATTTAAGGAACACAAACTCATTATTTTGTTTCCTTGACAATACAAATCATTGTAATCAATTGGAAAGTAATGAGTCTGTATTCTTTTCTTTATCTTAATATTCTATTTACCATTGATGTGCACAGCTGTTCTACAGTATTCATGTGGCATATTGCCTATTATTATATTCAAAATGCATCCATCAGGTTTTATTTGCATTAGTGCCTGGCTTGTGATTCTTGTAAATAAGCCATCATTTTTCTAAATACTTGTAGAGCCTTATTGCTTAAATCCTTTCACACACACAGTAGAAAATCTCAGGCATGCACCAAGTTTTTGCTGCTTTGCACTCCTCACAATTTTTATTGTTGTTTGGCATGAGATGTTGTCAATGTTTCCATGGTGTTTTTTAAATTTGTAATTATTTTAAATGTTTGTTTTGTACATATTAATTACTCCTACATTGTGTACATATTTTCCTTTTTCTACTACATCCTGTTGTTTACTAATTATAGCAAATTATTACAATGTGTCTTATTGCTTCAAATTTTAGGAACGAGAGAAAATAAAGCTTGACAAGGAGAGGAGGGAACGTGAGCGATTGGATCTGGAATTTGCTTACCAGCATCAAAAGCAGCAGCAGCATCATGTGCACCCTCAGCATTGGCAAATGCCTCCTCCAAGCCGATCACCAGCTCAGTTACCTCCACACTCTCCTCAGTCCCCTAAGTCACCCCAAGCGCAACTCCTGCCTCCAAGACAACCAAGGCAAGCATCCAGCGCAAGCCCTCTGTACAACCCTCCTCCTCCTGTCTCAAATGTACGAGCTTACCCTAAGCCTGGCACAAGTCCTGTAGCAGGTAAGTCTGGAGAATGTCTTGCAGCTCTGTAGAGTTTACTCTACCGCTTCCGTGGGGTCCTTTGAATCTCACAAATGCCTTTTGTTGCAGGTGCTTCTTCCTCATCTGGAGCTGCTTTGCTGTCGGACCAGCCCTATGGGCATGTTGCAGGCGCGGGGCAGGACGTTGCTGGCGCGGTGTTTGCTGGTCATCTCCATTCCCACACGCCCCCGCGAGCCGTCCGGCAATCGCACGGGGCACAAGGCCATGGAGACTACAACTCTATTGGTCTACCTGCAATCTCTGCTTCTCCAGCACCAGAGGACGTCGCACAACAAATTAGACAGATGAATCTTTCCCGGCACACGCCATCTCAACAATTGTGTGATGAATTCCCTTCTCCAGAGGATATTTTTGAGGAGGAGGCACGTCGTCTACAGGAGGAAAAAGATGCTGTAAGTTAATAATCAATAGCTTTCTTTTTTCTACTTGCTTTGTACTTAAAAGTTTCCAGGCTTATCAACTGCTACTTGGAAGATTGGTTGTATACAGTAGTCTTGTGTCAGCTCCAGTGCATGTACTTTTCAAATCATGACTAGAGTGACACTCGACGATTGTGACAGCTCTCTGCTTCAACCTCCAGTGCCAATGAAGAAGTGAACAGACGTTTTGTTTCAAATTCACCACTACTGGAATTATTTTTCAATTACATTTTTTATTTTTAGGAATTAGCAAGACAGCTTCAAGAGCAGGAAGAACGTGAAGGTGCGGAAGGTATAGATAGAGATAGATTACTTGCAATGGAAGCTCAAGATCAAGAACTTGCTCGCATGCTTCAGGAAAAAGTAAGTCTGAGTATTTTTTATCATTACTTATGTCATCAAACTCTTAATAATTTAAATTCCTAATGTGCGACATTACTTGTTTTAGGAAAAGGCAAAACTTAAGAGGGCAAGGGAACGTGCCAAGCAGAAAGCTCTTCTCAAAAAGCAACAGGAGCAGCAACCAACGGACGGAGCAGGGCCATCTGGGTGTGGGCCTGGGCCTGGGCCCTCTGGGTCTGGCACCTCCTCCCCTTTGTCACCCAACTATTCTCAAATTGCTACCGAGGATGAAGAAGGATGTTACAGCTTGCCACATCAGCCGTCACCAGTACCACCAGCTTCCCACCCTGGTTCACCAGGAAATAGTGAACTATCTAACAAGGCTGGTCAAGCCAAAGGGCGCCGAAGGTTGGTTCAGTACACACTACTTCTGTACCTAGCACAATTTCTACCTACAGCAATTTTTATCTTATTTTTATTTTCCCTTTATTTTGTTTTTTAATTACTTATCTATGGTTTTCTTGTTTTAGGTTCCCTGACCCTGAGGCAATTGAGGAACTCCCATCCCCAACTGTCACACCTCCTGGCTCCATCAGTGGCTTTGGCCCAAGTGACGCCCTTCGCAATATTGCCGTAGTTATTGACCCCACCTACCCTAGGCGATCACCACCCAATGCTGCAGATGTGAGAACTTCACCTGTGACTACCAGTAGTCAGCTCGGTATGTATGATTAAAAAATTATTACCTCCTTAGTATTGACCATAAGAAAATTACATAAAAAACTGAAAGGATGTTTTCTTATTGAAGTTCTTTTATGTTACAGATTATGTGGAAGATAACTGTGGTAGCCCCGCACCTCCTTATATGCCAATACAAGGACAGAGAAGAACTGCCTCTCTAGAGAAAAAATCAAAGAAAAAGACTTCAAAAGATGGATGCAAGCAACAGTAAATTATACTGCGGAACTGAGATCAAAATCCATAGATTCATGAAGATAGTCCTTTTAATTGTTTAAGACATTGCTTTAAAATATCTCTACTTAAAAAGAAAATAATGAAACAATCACTGCCATATATCAGGTCAACTGACAAAGTGAAAAGAATTCATTCCATCCATCTGATAATTCTAGTCAAAGTTGTACTCATTCAATGAAGTACATCTAAATATAAGGGTGTTTGTTTATTGCCAGATTTTGTTACACTCCTTTATTTAAAAAGGAAAATTTGTCAGATATTTATTCCATGTTTTTATATTTTTAACTCTTCTTTAACCTGAATTTTGCAATCCATCTATAGATTACATCTTCCGATAGTTGGGTTGTCACTGACAAGGTATAATTCAAGCAAAACTTCCCTTGTTCCAAGTTGGTATTTTTTGTTTGTTTTGTTTTTATCTTCCTAACAATAAACCATTATTGCTGTATTAGCTATATAAACAGATTGTATTTAAACTTACGACATTGCACTCTGCATTGTTAATTGTCCATCTATTCTCATAACATATACTGTATTCTAATGGTAATTCCGTCCATTTCACTTTGCCTACTTATGTATGGGGACCAGTATTATTGATCATAGACTACTATCATGTTGATATATTGTGACTTTCAATATCCTAATAATACTTCATTATCAAGGAAACCTTAATATAATATTTTAAAAAAATGAAGTACATTACTTCAAATGTATTACATATTTCCGTATAAGGTCCTTACCCCCCGTGAGCAGCACCTACTCTATTCTGGGATTTACGGATAGTTAGTTTACTACACAATGGTGTACTTAACCTACTGCTCTCAGATCTATCATTATAGTGAGCAGATCTGAAATTTGAATATCATTATTATTATAAGACGGGACTAGTGATACTTTTTAAATAAAAAGAAAGTTTGTTTAATTTTCTAGTCGAAGGTTTAGGTACGTAACTGCTACACATATCTCTTACTACAGGGGTACTATCTTATTATTTTTGATATATTCTCTTGTATTTTAAAGAAATGGGCACCTTTTTTATTGGTATCAAAAATGTTACCCACTCTGATTTAATAAATAAAGTGTTTATATCTGGAAAAATCACATTTGTCTCCATTTCTTTCTTCCCTTGACGAGACTTTAGGCAAGAGAATCTAACAACGGTCATCGCGGCGAGCAAAATAGACTTCGGATTTCGAATTGAATTAATTAAACAGCACCTTGAAGCATTGCAGACGAACAAACAGGGGTTGGTGTCTTCCCCATTTAAAACATGTAAGATTTGGTTGATGCGCCCCGCACCCACTCCCGCGATGGTAGCGCCTGCCACACGTTGGGCAGGCCATCCCGCCAAGCAGCTGTGTGAAGCCGGCGGCCCGCCTCCCCGCCCGAGCGAGTAGGCAACCCGCCTGCGACATCCAGACGGGCCGCCGTCTTCACACAGCTGCTTGGCGGGCTGGCCTACCCAACGCGTGCCAGGCGCTAGTGTGGCCTTGCGTAAAACTTTCACAGCGGTATGGGTCGCCAGGAACTCGTTCGCGTTTTAAAGTCAGGCTGACGATGGGCAATTTTCTGTGGTTTGCCTATTTTCATGGGTTTAGTAGGTGAAATTCCCCACCTATCAGGCGGTTTCCTAGGGAGCGACCCCCCCGCCCCTGCAGAAAATACACCACCGTGATATCTTAGGCAGTGCTAGGCTTGTTGCGCGTTCATGGTCTCCGGAGTCCGCTCTGATACACCAGGTACTACTTGCGGAGGCCGTAAGGGCAGTAATTATCATAGTCAAAATAATAAGACGCATCAAAACACATAGTTTAGTTTATTTCCAATAGTTGTGTAAGATGAGCCAGCAAACTTCCAGACTTCCAGGATGGGTCCTAGTGAGATCAAGATAAAAATCCCGCCGTCGTCGGTTCCGGTGTCAGTTTCATCCTATAGGGGAATAAAAACAAAACCGCCCCCGCCCATACTCTCCTACACTACCGCCGCCGCCCATGATCCCACTTTTTCGGGTATACACTTCTTTTCTCGTTTTTTTGTGTTCTTTGGCTGTTGCTGTTGGCAAGTTTTAGACGGTCTTTTACTTTGATGAGATAGAATCCGATTCTTGCCTATCAACGCCGAGGCCGAGCCGAGCCACGCCTCGCCACACACGTGCTTCGTGCAAAAAGGGGGAGAGGGGAGACATTAACTACTTGGCGAGTAACACGAGTTGGGGG